CCCGGGCCAAAAAGCTGTTCAAATGCCCCATCATAGGTCCATTTCAGGTGATCAAATGCCCCCACCCCCGGGAAAATTACCAGATTACTGTTTTAACTTTTCAGTAGCTTTTATTATGCTTGTGAAGCTGTGTATCTAAACATGGTTTAATAACACCAAAGAGAACCAAGGCCCTACATGCCACGAGGCAAGAGGAGGACAGGTAACAGGTAATAACCAAAGAGAACCAATTTTAAAACAAAGTTGACAAATTTCGATGTCGAATTATTATCAATAAACCTCTAATATAAAAGTAGCGTTTTGTCGATGCGGATCAACTGCATGCAGGTATTACACTAGACCAATGTTCTGCTCGTAGAGAAACACATAGAAAATATTTCAATTTAAAATATGTTTATATGCTACTACTGCTGTCAGTGTATCAATGCGAACTTTCAAATTTGCATAGTTTTTAAAATAAACTTGAATTATTTAGAGAATATATGAGTGTAAAATATGTTTGTTTCTGTTGAAATCATTTTTGTTTCTTCCTTGCTCTTGTTTCTTTTGCCTTCTGCGTTGCCTTTGCATGGTTTCCTTCTTTTCCTGAAGATGGGTAACCCAAATTTTCCCTTCATTTAAGAAACGGCAACACCTTTTATCCCATGTGATAAGGCCGTCTTCTGCTTCAATCCCCTTCTTGAGGGCCTCTTCAATAATTATAATACGGAACAAAACTTGTGTAGGCCTTTGGTTTTCACCCAATCCGCCACGTATCCGCAATCTTTTCCTTTGATTCATCGAAGTTTGTCTCCGCCATGATTTATCAACCCACGTGGAATCAACGGGACTTGTGACATGAAATCGAGGCTAGCGATCAAATTCCCCACCCTCTATGAGTGGTGATCAAATACCCCGCCCCCGGGAAGATTAAAGTAATCAAATTCCCTCCCCCCGGGGCAGGAAAAGGCATCAAATACCCTGGGGGGATGTTGAAGTTTCGATTTGACTGGTACATTATATGGTTCGCTCCGTGAGCGCGCAAGGTGAAGCAAATCCTGCGCTGTGATTGGCTACCAGAGCGGGCAAGATGATGATATCTTACCCGCTCGGGGCTACCTGCCGTGTCCCGCAAGAAAAATATCCCCAAAAGACATATAGTAAATCCTTTATTGACCAAGCTTGCTCGTTCAAGATGGCTGGATATTGCCCTTGTTCTTTTTTTTTGCGAGTTTATGTACCTCGGCTCCGTCTCGGTCCATAAACACGCAAAAAAAAGATCTTGGCCAATATCCAGCCATCTTGACCTCACGCTCGGCCAGTTCATTTACAAAATAGGATTGAGATTTGCTATGACTCAAGCATTAGAAATAACACATTTCCTTAACACTTTCCATATTTTGATGGAAGATCATATTTTGAATAAACTTTCAAAACACGTATCCACTTTCCTACCAAGACTCCCCACTTTTCTTTCAGAATCACTGTTTGTACTTTAACTGTCCAACTGATCTGACCCTGGAAAAAACTTCAATTTGAAGTGAGATGGGAAGTCTGTGGTAAGTTTGGGAAGCTGCCGCTTGTAAGCCCTAGGTTTATATAACTTCGTAAGTGGGGAGTGGGGAGGGGGGTATAAGCAGAATGAAAAAAACCCTTTTCGAAATGAGCTACAGCAGTGTTTAACAAAATACTTTTTTCATATGCTGGTTTTTAATTAAGCTTTAAAACATCATAATACATCGAAAACATTCATTTTAAACTAGAGGGGGGCTTATAATCAGGGGCTTATATTCGGGGGCTTGTAATCGGAATACTTTATTTACAGGTAGATTGGCCTATAACCATAAGGGCTTTTAAGTGGGAGGGCTTGCAAGCAGCAGTTTAAGGTATTCTGTAATTCACTCTTCCTGGGGGTAAAGATAAGTGCACAGCTTCCTTCCCCTAGTGCTAATGAAAGCAAAAAAGGGCATATCATTCAGGAAAGGAGCTGTCCTCAAGATAACTGCCTCATTCATCACAAAAATTCTCACAGTGTCTGCAAAGTTATAAAGTGAAAGATTGTGGGAATATAGGGAAACAAGAACAATGTTTTCTAGGATCCAGTGCTGGCCACCAGTAACTCTAACCCAGTTCCTACTCTACAGTCTTCATGTACATCCCTTTAAATGTCGTTGAATCTAAGACTGAAGACTGATAAAATCAAACAATGGTGTATTTTTGAGACGTTAAAAATTTATATAAAGGCATTAAAATGTAAACATTCATCATAATGAGCTTCATTAATCATAAACTGTATCCTTGATGTAAAGCTGGAAACTGAAATCTTATCTTATTATGAATCCTATGTTTGATTCTCGCAAAAGTGTAAAACATGACCATAAGCACTTTTGATTTTTAGACTGTATCTTAATATCTCTTGGTGTAAAACTCAAAATAACTAACTTGTTGTAAAGAAAAAAATATGTAAATAGCCTGAAACAAGAGGACACCTTTACATGACCTACTCTTTTCCTACACTACATAGAAACAGTGGAGATTTAAGCTGACAAATTCCACTAAGCAATGTCTGTGTAGCTGGCTAAATTAAAAATTGGCTAATAAGACCCCACCCTTCCCTGTGCTAATTTAAAGCATATTTGGATTTTAAGGGGATGAGAGGCACATTTATAGAGGGGGGGGAATACTGGCATAATAAAGCAGGGGTAGGTTTCCTTGCCACGAAAATAGTTGGAAGATGCAAATATCCAACTTGAATCTAAGATATTTTTCTCAGAGGAGAAATTATTAAGAGGTTGATAGAAATGTCTGTTTTCTCAAGCTCATATATTAATAGTATCAATTAAATGTCATTGAAACACTGAAACAGTGTGTAGATAAAAAGTTTTTGCTTCTTAAGATTTCTGTGATGCCACAAATTCTGGATAATCGATATAGCCATCTTTGTTAAGGTCATCTTCATCTAAAATCTGATCTATCATGTGTCCCATTTCATCATCAGTGTAATGTGGGTTTTTACCATCGCCATCTTCATCATGATAATGCGTCATTGCATTCATGAGTTCTATACCATCCAATTTGTTGTTGTGGTCATAGTCATGTAGTTTAAAGTAGTGGAATTGTAAATCTTCATCAGACATTTGTTCATCCTTGAGATCAATCTCATCCTTTAGATGCTCCTTAATATGGCTGCAACATGAAAATAAATAAATAAGCAAATATAAGAAATAAATAAATAAATTCATTACTACAGTCAAACCTCCAGCAATGCCCACCTCTCTTCAATGGCCACTTTTTTTTGCCCCGGTGGACAGTCCATATGTTCCCTCTTATTTCAACCTCTCTAAAACAGCCACCTCTCCACAAGGCAATGGCCACTAAAGTGCATTCCAAACTACCAAAATAACCTCTCACAGTTCAAATATATGCTCTTTCATAATATTATATTCACTTACAGGTAATGTCCAGTTCCTCAGTAACTGATGAACAGTGCATACAAAACCCCATTATTTATTGGAAAAGGTCACGAAACTTGATCCATGCCGTGCGTCATTAATCTCTGTTTCTGTTTTATTGATATAAAGTCGCACCTCAATTATCCAGACTCGTTGGGACTAGACGCAATAGTCCGGATAATTGAGGGTGCAGATAATCGAAAATATGAATATTAATGAAGAACAAAACTGTTTAAATAAAGCAACATTTAATCATGAAACAACACCTTTACAAATTGTTTGGAAAACAATATGGTCTACTGTATATCTTGAACCACTCAACTCTGAGCCAATCAGAACTCATTTGAGTGTTCTTCATTAGTTACAATGCGAGCAAGTGCTGCTTTTGCTCTTTCAAAGCAAAACAAACTCGCTTTTGACTGCACTTTTCAATGCTATAGTTTTAAAAAGAATATTACTATGGATCTTGATCATGACTAATAAATATTCATGACAAAATTGGGACTAGAGAAAAAGTCTGGATAATCGAGAAATCTGGGTAATCGAGGTACAGATAATTGAGGTTTGACTGTATTTTGATTTCGTTACGTATTTACGTCATACCACATTAACTATTTTTTGAAGTTGAAATGTTGAATCCCAAGAAAAAAGCGGGTGTCATATACACCACTACCTCCCCATAACAGCCACCTCTCTGCAATGACCACTTCCCTCTGTCCCCAAGGTGGCCATTGTGGGGAGGTTCAACTGTAACTATATGAAAAAAATTTCAGCATATAGCATTGCTGTATAGTATACTATTTAGGTGATATAGCATTGTTGTATAAAGGTGAAACAATTATGGTGAGCCAAAATACAGCAAGTAAAACTACAGTGACACCTCACACAAAAACAATGTAACGGTTATCATTCCTGAGTGCATCGTTGAGTTATAAAAGAATGCAGGAATCTTTAAAAATTTTAGAAAAGTGCAAAGAAAAGTGTAAGAAACAGCAAAACACTTTTGAAGCTCTCAAGTTTAGGCAATTGCTTGCACGTTGTATAATGTCAAAGTATAAAAAAATTAGTGTGATCCAAATGATTCAGGGGGTTACAGAAAACCTGTTAAGCTGGTCTTCTGGACTAAAAGTATAGACATTGTGAGATGTTCAGTGTTTTTTTCAGGTGTTATTTGTACTCTATTTGCTACTAGTCACTGCAGTTGCACAAAAGTTATGAATAAATAGTTATCTCTTACTATTGGCCGAACGCAAGGGCCTTACAGGGGAATATTGGTCTAAGTGAGGTCCGTACAGAAATGACCGAGGGCCAATGTTCCCCAGAAAAGCTCAAGCAAGCTAGGTTAGTAAGTAGTTTATAATAATAATTGCACTCCATGGAAGTTGCAAATTTTGAATTTGCCTGCTTTTGAAAACAAACTATACACAGCTTAGACCACTTCCATGAAAACGGTCTGAATAGCAAAGTCCCACCCAGTAAAGAACCAATCAGACTACCTTGCCATATAATAATACTACAGTATTGATACACTTTATGCCATGAAATAAAAAAAAAGGAAAAAGTTATAGCAAAATTTACAATATGATATGAAGGTAACTCAAAATCTTGCATTTAAAACAACTCAAATTGTTGTAATTGAAATGACCTAGAACTAGAAATATTGCCTACTGATACAAATTGGCCAAATATATCTAAATTAGCTCAAAGTAATTCTCGTATGTACACGTGTATTCAAAAAGCTCTCTGGATTATACCATTTAGTCCTAAAGCTGATTTCGTCGGTTGCAACCCGAACTAAAAGAGAAGCAAGTGAACTAAAACTCAATTCGTTAAGTTAACTTATCAGTAATTAACTCTATGAATCGGTGGCTGAGATAACTAAGGCATAAGCGTAAATATTATTTAAGCTTACTCTAGCCTAAAATACTTCGTACTTACTCTTTGTCGTGTGTGACTTTTGAATCGTGTAAAGGGTTGTGTTTCCCTCCAGCTTGACTGTCGTCAGAAACAACAAAGCAGAAAAGGGTAAAGAAAGCTACAAGTCCACATGCACATCGAATCGACGACATTTTCATGGCACTAAAAACTGTGAATAAAAATTATTTTTCGTTCACGAGTAATCTCGATTCTCCAAACAAAAGTAAGGCGCGGTTCCCAATTCCCAAGACGGAAGTTGACACCAGCCCCTCTCTACTCAATTGTTTGGCCTGGGCACAGGTATCGCAAACTCGGAACGGCCAACCATAAAATCAGTGGAATTCCGGAGTCCGAAATTATTGAAATTGAGAATAACGACAGAAACAATTCACTTCAGCAATGTTCAGTTATTAAACATAGCAAAAAAAAAAAAAAAAAAAAAAACCAGCAATGTTATTGTTGTTTGCTTTACTTCAAACAAAAACTGTAACTGTAAAAACATGACTAGTTTTGATCAACCTCCTACTGTATGTGGCCCGGTTGTGCAAAAAGTGGATAACGCCATCCATTGGATAAATCATTATCCAGTCAGGGTTAGTGATTTTTCGGGTTGACAGACTTATCGTAAATCCTTGGGCGCGGTCCATTGGAGCAGAAATTCCGGTTTGAATTTCCGAAATTTTCGTATGCCGAACGGAACGGTATTTCCCAGGTGTCACGAAAACTCAGACCCCGAAAACTCAGACCTCAGACCCATCGAAATGAAAAACTCAGTTGTTATCACCTGAATTGCTCTACGGTCACGCAATGTTAATAGGCAACAGCCACGATGGGGCGTAAAGATAAAAACACGTCACAGAAAAAAAAAAACACGTAAAAAGTCAACACGTAAAAAACACGTAAAGGTCGAACCGATTGAACCGCCATGTCTGGTCTCAAAATGCGAGCGAACGAACATTGAAAATTGGCGTGAAGGCCTCGCCACGAGGCAGATTTAATAATTAACTAAACCAGGCGGTATCATGAAAAAAATAAATAAATAAATAAATAAATAAATAAATAAATAAATAAATAAATAAAAATAGAAGTGTTTGGTTTGAAACTTACTGTTTCCTGTAAGAAATATTCACTATTCCCGTCAAGTTATAAGTTGGTTCGCAGACATGGCTATTTCAATGTACTCTTTTTTCCTTTTTTTTTCTAAATTTTGTTAATTTCTGCGGACTGCGTTCCGACAGTCACGCAACGCACATAAAGTCAAAAAGCAGATTGCGATGAAATCTCCGTGTTTTCACTTTAAGCTCAAACGAGTATGTTTCAGAGAACAACACTTTTTTTTTTTGCTGCATACGATTGCATAATAAAGGTCTGTTTTGAAAAACAGTGTCGGCTGCTGTTCGGTTTCTGTGATATCCAGAATAATCAAGGTCTCGGCAAGGGTTATCAGCCTCAGCCTTCCGCCTCGGCTGATAACCCCTACCTCGACCTTGATTATTCTGAATATCACAAAAACCTCATCTAATAATTGTTTATTGATTGGTTGATGGTAAAGATTACTCTTATCGGTAATCCCTCTCAAGTTATTTTTAGATCATCCCTGGCTTAAAAAATCCTAGAAGGGTGTGGAGATAGCCAATCATATATGACGCGGAAATACTCGAGACAATCCTCAATTGCATTTCCATACCCATGGAATGTTTCATAAATACTCCGCACCTCGGCGACTGGAAATGCGATGAAACACTGTCATAGTCTTCTTTACAATGAAAGCGTCCGAGCTGGATGTTCACGAAAAAAGTAAGAAAACAGGGCGCTTTGAATAACACCACACTGCGAGCCCTCCCCCTACCAAAAAAAATATATGTATAGCACCCTTTCAAGACTCTGAATTCCTTACTGTAAACATCAAGCCGCTAAAAATTTTGCGGGGAGAGGAACAGGAGTGAACCGAGTTGCTTTACTAATAAGAGACTACTTTTCTCCCTACAACAGATTCCATCCTTAACCAGCATATACCCCAACAAACAAAAGTGGATACCAGTGTTTTTTGTTAAGAATATAAATCAAAGTAGCTGCAATTAAATTATAATAGAATAAGAGTTTTCTGTAAGTATAGTAGATACAGTATTTGAAATACTAACTAGTAATATGTATCGTGTGGTAGTTTGCTTCCATCTTTTACGAGAGGCTCAATAATATAATTACATTTGCTTTTAGAGGATAATTTGCTTTTTGAGTACAATAAAAACGCAAATGAAATCCAACGGATCTTTTGGTATTTCTGAAATGCAATAAAATATTTGTTTTGGGGAGTAATAAAATATACGCTAATCTTAAAAAAGGCAACGCAAAAACATCGTTTTTCTTGTAAAGAATGATGAAATAAAAACAAAAATGCCAATCGTAGTATGATTTCATACATCAACTATTTACAAAGAAAAAAAAGACTGAAATACGCTATATTACAATTTGGTTATCATAGAGATGTCATTCATTATTGCCATGGAAATCATAGTGACGTCATTCATCGTTGTCAGGGTGATCATGATGACGTCACTCATCTTGATCTTTCGTTTGAATTCAAAGACATGCAGTGTCGCGAGAGACTCACTGGCTTGCAGCCCTTGCTTCTTTTGATGAGCTGTCTGCAGCAGCTCCATCCTTTATTCACCACATACTCTCCAAGATGGCGCGTCACAATGCAAGTTCTCGTTTTCATGGCTGCACGAGGAAGAAACAGCTGACATCTGCTGCAGCGGACCTCCTCGAGTTGTCTTGTCAGCGTACGTAGGCACTGGGAAAGACTTTTGATCTTGTCCTCGTGGACGCGCAAGTTCTCGCGGACGCGCGCGGAATCTTGTATCGCGCGTTGGTAAACGACGCGGAACGTGGATTGATCCAAGGCATTAAAGAGTCCAGGTTTCTTGTCTAGCGCCCAGTCTAAATCTGCAATACCAGTTTTCTCTAAGCATCTGTGCTCAATTAAAAGACGACTAGACTCGGGAAAATTGTTCTCAGTTCCTTCTTCATTCCATAGAACGACTATTCTGAGCTTGTCTCCTTCCTTGAAAACACTGTTTTTTGTCCCAAGCTCCAGAATTGATGAAACAAACTCCGAATCAACAATGCTTCGCCTGAACAGTGGAGAAATAGCAAAGACTTTCCACTGAGTGGCAAAATGCTCGGCGGCCTTGCTCAGTAATTCCTCCACGCCCAGGAAATTCGCATTTTGGATCGTATTGAAGATTTCATGAGCTTCAAAGAGCGCGCCATCTGCAATACCCGAGTACATGAAGTGCAATATGGGCTCTGTATTTCCAGGCGCTGGGAGGTGAATGGAAATCAAGTCCATGGTTGTCTCGCGGTAAACGCCGCAAAGCAAAGCTCGGAAATACTGACTTCTGAGAACGAGGTACTCGGTGTGGCAATAAAACCGTTCAGAATTGAAGCAAATAATTTTGTCAGCATGTTCCGGTTGATTCACGAACTGCAACGCGGCTTCTCCGTCCACTACGTTAAATGTTCCAGATTCGCTCCGTTCCGTGATAACGACGCGGTTTTGAAGCACGTGGACCTTGAGCCCGAAAGCGGAAAGCTGGGACATTAAACTGTTCAGTGCATCTTTCATTTCACATACAAGCTGGCCATTGGGAATGTCCTCTCCTGGTTTTGAATCCTCCATCGTACAGTTGTCTCCAAAGCCTGCTTCAAACAGTTCAGGAAACCTTCCCCAAATGAAAGTGACCTCGTGACTCGTAGCGCACCACTTCTTATAAACATATTGTGCGACATTTCGTTAAGATCGAAAGCGTGAGAATTCATCTATTGTAATAACGAAAAACTCGGGCGTGGTTCATTCAAAAGTATTATTAAATTCAGAAAGCCTGGAAAAAAACACTGGGGCACCAACATAACTGCGTGAACACCCACGTCCGGTCCACACTAGTCCGGAAGAATTTGAAAACATGTTTCACCCTGAAAACACATCAAATGTTTCTGTCTACACAGGAATTTAAAAACGCAACAATCACCGGTCATTCTGCATTTGAGTTTGAGGAAAACTCTGTCGGAAATCACATGAATATCAGTTACGCAATCGTTTTCGAAAAGCTCCATTTTCAAAATGTTTTCCGCCAACACAAAACGGAAAGCCGTTGTTTTTAAATTCGTCCGGTTTGAAGACCGTTTTCGAAAAGCTCCGTTTTCGTGACGGATTAGAGTGGACGGTAGGCTTAATCGCAGAAATTAAGCTGTGTTTTCAAATTTCTCCGGCGTCAGTGAGAAAACAGACAAGGTTAAACGAAGCGAAGCCGTGCCAGACAAGTACATTGCGCTGCTATCAATAAACAATTTTTTCCATTACGCTCAAACTGAAGTGAAATTTTTAAACTTGTTTTCTCAACCCCTTTCAGAATAGAAATCTGTTTCGTACGTGTAACGGTGTTTTTCCCTGTGTATACTGTTCAAATACTACAGGGGACTCCAAGGTTTTCTCTCCGATGCTTTAAAACGCTATTTTAGGCAATGTAGGTTAAGTTTGAGCTGCGCTATGAAATTTCCTTAAGTCTTTCCGATTTTATTAGGGCGTTAAGTCCATTTCCCAAAAACCTTAGGCTTTATCGCCTTTCCGAAAATCATAGCCGACCTTTTTTCGATATATTTATCACTCCGAAAAGAAAAGGCGTTAAATTTCTCATATCACGAAGGCTCGAGGCGACAATTTTCTTAAGAAAATTGGAGGGGATTAAAGGACTTCCGAACAGATACTTTATCAAAATGGTGCATTGGGTGCCCTTGTGTATACTGTTCAATTAGGTAAGGTAAATGTGAAGGTGAATTAATCAACATGACACGAGCGTGGGACAAAGAAAAATTCTGAGTCCCCGACAGGAATCGAACCCATGA